ACCATTAGACCTGTTGACTTAACCTCCCTCCTGCCCTCCTCCTGTCCCTCCCTGGCTCTCTCCCTCTCTGATTCCTTTCCTCCCTCTTTCCCTCCCTCCTTTTCCTCGGTCTTTCTCTTCTTCCCTCTCTCCCTCCTCCTTTTTCTTTCCTTTTTTTTTTTTTTTTTGAATGCCAGGATCAAACCCAGGACCTCGTGCAAGGTCTCTACCCGGCTAAACTAAATTCCCACCCTGACTCTTCATTAAAAAAAATAATTAAGTAAAATGTTCTTCCCTTCTCCCACTGGTTTTCAACAATATCATTCAAAGTTTCATTTCATTTTTCTACTAAAAGAGCTTTGGTTCTAAGCAAATAATTAGATTGTTATGTGGCTACCCTTAGTGTGATTTTGCTATTATTATTCCCTCCTTATTCTGAGGAGACTGAAAATGTACTAAACAGGTTCTTCCGCTCAGAGTCACCCTGTTAATGTCTAGAGACAGATGTGATTTGACTGACTGATTTTCATAGGTAATAGTACAGAGATAAGTTGTCCAAGCTTGTTAGGAAACTTCTGAGGCTGGACCTGGTGACTCAGGCTTATAATCTTATCTACTTGGGAACCTAAGGCAGGAATACTGCAATTTCAAGACCAGCCTGGGCAACTTTGTGAGAATCTGTCTCAAAAGTATAAAAAGAGAACTAGAGATGTGGCTCAGTGGTGGAGGGCTTGCCTCACAAACCAAAAAATCTTCAGTTCTATAATATGGTTCCATTCCTAATCTAGGAAGGTTGTTTTAGCCCTCACACTCTTTCCAGAAGGGAGGACAGAAGAGCATTACATTCATATTACTTGGAAATCCCACACTCCCACTCGAGTAGGAATAGGCAACTTCTGCATACTCCATTGACTGAAGTTCAGCTTTGGACCACACTCACATCCAAGGCAGCCTGGGAAAGGCAGTCTTTGCTTTGGGAGGCTAATGTGCCTCAGAAATTTGGGATTCTTTTACTAAATGAAAGAGCATGGATACTGGAACAGGGTCCACAGTTCTATATTGATGACAACATGATGAGATTCAGACAAGGCTGTCAGGGTTCTAGAATACACAACAGTTTGCCTTTTGAAAAGCTTCTTGGGATCCTTTCAAATTTCTCTTTAGGCGTGTGTGTGTGTGTGTGTGTGTGTGTGTGTGTGTGTACTCGTATGTGTGTGCATTTCACACATGTATCCTTTTATTAGAAAATAAAGTAATTTAATTTAATGTTATGTATTTTTGTCTCTTAAAATTTTTTGCTTTTTTTTTAAATAAAGTTTTTATTTTTTTGGAGAATTTCATATGTAAGTAGAGTATTTGCATTGTTCTACCCCTCCCTCTCACCCCTCTAACTCTTCCCTCCTCTTCTCCCTCTCATATTCATGACATCTCTAATTATTATTGTCCATTTAGTGTTGTTTTTGGACCCGAGTTTAGCACCTATCAGGGGTCTCATGCCAGGAGGACACTGATTCTCCCTCCCATAGCATCCATCCTGTAGCATCCTGTAGCTCTTCATCTAGGGATGGGACCTTGTGAAATTTCTCCCATTCCCATTGGCATGTCAACTCATACTGTCATTGTGCAGGTTTTGTCTAGGCAGCCACACTGCTCAATTTCATGGTGCAGCTTCCTTGCTGTGCCTAAGAGACACTATCTTGCAGCAGGTTTGCTGGTCCTCTGGCTCTTAAAATCTCTCTGCACCCTCTTAGGGTGTTCTGTGAGCATTAGGTATAGCGTTGTGCCATAGATGTCCTAATTGGTGCTGGGCACCCCATGGTCACTGATTCCATGAATTTTAACCTGCTGTAGATCTGGATCCCTGTCTGTGGCAAAAAGAAACTACACCTATCTGTGGGTGTAAGGATAAGAGTTTAGGATGTAATTAGAATGATATTGATTTAGGAAAATGGTAGTAAGAATTTTTCTTCTAAGGTCTATGACCTCTCTAGTCATGGATAATTGGCTAAGTTTACAGTACCAGGAATGAGTTCCTTCACACTGAGTGGTCTTTAAGTCCAATTACACGGCTGTTGGTTACCCCCAAGATAAAAGTGCCACTATTGCACCATTGCAGATATCTTGCTGGGCTCTTCATTGATGTGGTTTGGAAGCTTAATAGCTGGGTTATTTTTGTTTTCTCGTAGTTATCAGATGAGCTAGGTTTAGAGATTGTTACTAGTGAAAAAGTTTCCAAAGGCTGTTTTAATCTTTTCTCTGTTAAGTTTGTTGAACAGTTTTCTTTCTCTCATCTCTCTTCCTTCCCTCCCTCCCTCCTTCCCTTCCCTCCCTCCTTCCCTTCCCTTCCCTTCCTTCCCCTCCCCTCCCCTCTCTTCCCCTCCTGTCCCCTCCCTTCCCTTCCTCTTTCCCCTCCTCTTCTTCTTTTTTTTGGTCTCTTTCTCCTCTGTCTTATTATGTTGCCCTGGTACTTTTCTGTATCCTGCTGCTCATTTTAATGAGGCATAAACCAAGCAAGGGTGGGGTGGAAGAAGAGAAGGAGGAGGGCCAGAGACAATTCAACATGCCTCCTTTACATAATTTTAAAACTTTTATTGTTAGTTTTTATTACACAAGTGATACATGTTCATTGTAGAAAAATTAGAAAACACAGAAAAGCAAAAAGAAAAAATAATCACCCATAGTCCCACTACCCATAGATAACTGCTATTAACATTGTAGTATATGTCCTTCTGACTTTCTTATGCATATATATACATACACAGATATATTTATATGTGATTTTCTTTTTTTACAAATATTGTATCATACTATACATATTGTTTTATAATGTTTTTCATTTAATATATATTGTCAACGTCATTGTTTATTCCCTGAAAAAATTATACAGATACTACATGCTCATTGTGGAAAAAGTCAGAAATTACAGATATGCAGAAAGAAAATATAACTGCTCCAAACCTCACCTCCCAGAGATAAAGGCTGTTGTCATTTGGCAAATGTCCCTTCAGGCTCTTTAATGCACACGTGTATGTTTTAAAAAAGGGATCATACTGCAGATAGTCTTCTGTATTTGTTATATATTTAACAATATAGCTTACACATTCAAGGGCTACATATGGTGCTTATCCTTAACTGGTACACAGTAGTCCATTGTAAAGAGCTACCATATCTAACCATATAATGCAGACTTATTTACAAAAAGTCCTTTTTGTATAACTTTTTAAAATAATGACTAAATACAGCTTAGCTCACTTTTTGCTGAATGTTAAAAATTAAATCATATTTTTTCAGTGTGTGTGCATGTATATGTGTGTATGTGGGCACGCACATGCCACAGTGTGCATGCAGAGGTCAGAGGACAAGTTTCAAGAGTTGGTTTTTTCTTTTTATGTGGGTCCTGGGAATCTAACTCAGGTTACCAGGCTTGTTCATAGCAGCCTTTACCTGCTGAGCCTTCTCGCTGGCCCATTGCTGTACTTTTACAAGGGAAATTTCCTTAATGTGAAATTACTGGGCATCCAGAAAAAATATATAGTGCCAAAATATTTTCCAGAAAAGTTGAATCAATTTATACTTCTGTTGGCTACAAGAGAGAGTTTAGTTACCAAACTTCCTCGTTGTCTTTGAGAAAGTGGTATCTTTATACTCTGACCTTTCTGAGTTTCTTATATTTGCAGTTTGGGTTACGAGTATATTGTCAACATCACTGTTGCCGTTCAAACATGCTATTGATGGAATATTTTAGTTTATGGTGTATTGCTACCTTGAATCTTTAGCTCAATTTTCTATCAGGAAGTTTGATTCTTTTCAAATCACAAAATATTATTTATGTAATTCATTCATTATTTACGCATTCAATGAATGTGTCTTCAGTATTTGGTTTGTATATAGTGCTAAGTTAGGGTTGGGAAAACAATGTTAAGAAAAATATGTGCAATTGCTGCCTTTTATACATCCAACTTAGTGGGATAAACCAACAGTGAAATAATGCACAAAGGACAGGGCTTGTAAAGCAAACTTTTCCAAAATGTTGAAATCCTTGATTACTAGAGACCTGAACTCTTTCATGCATGTATTGCAAGTGTTGGTTTATTAATTACTGTATAGGTGCATTGGATTTTTAATTGGTCCAATTCATCAATCTTTTAAAATCTTCTTTCCTTTGGTATTACCCTTTTACTCCCTACACTAAAATGGCATTTCACCCATATTCACTGCTACTCTTTTGTATGTTTCTTTATGTGCCTTAATATTTAAATATTTATACCATTTAAAATTTCTTTTGACAAAAATAATGAGGTATAGATCTAATATTTCTCTCATGGTTAACTAGTTATTTTTATATAATTTACTTAATTATCCAAACTTTTCTCAGATTTGAGATGTAAACTTTTTAATGTATTCAATTATTTTATGTTCTTGGGACTAAGATGGGCTGTGTCCTTAATTGTAATGATTTATTGGGATGCCAATAATGTCATTGTTTTTCCTCATTCTAACTATAGTTACCCGGAAGCTGAGCATTTTTGAGTGGCGATATTCTAGAACAAAAGGAAAGTATAGACATTGCAAAGCATGAGTGTGTTGGGCGGGAAGTTAGGCTGGATGATATCTTTAATTTTTTCAGTCTTGAGACTTACAGCTTGAACATCTTGGTGGAATCACTGTTAATCTGGCCTATTTTATTATTTTCTAAAAGAAACGAGATGCTTTTCTACAGTGTATTTGCTTCCGGGGAGTCTGAAACTCAACCTTCACTAGGTGGCAGCACTGCCAAACACTGAGCATCCTGGAATATAAAGGTTGGGCAGAATTTGAGTGTTAATTCATTAGGGGAGGCATTAGGACTGTGCTGTTCTAAAGCTTTCTTTGTACCCCTGAATACAAGCAGAAATTTGCAGTGAGTCTGCATCTAGATGAATGCCAAACATTACTTGTCAAGGTTTTTTTTTTTTTTTTTTTTTTTTTTTTTTTAGACGTCTCTGTAGCCCCAGCTGTCCTGAAACTGCCTTTGTAGATCAGGCTGGCCTCGATCTCATAGAGATCCACCTGCTTCTGCCTCTTGAGTGCTGGGATTAAAGGTGCCTGCCGCCACAACTGGCTACTGGTCAGATTTTTGTAGTGACCCTTTGGCTGTGTGGCACTTCATGTATCCTATCCAAAAGAGTCTTTGGGGTCAATTCAGACTGATTTAAAGCCCAGAGAAATGTGGTTTAAAGTAGTTGACTGTGGTGGCATTTATGTGATGTTTATTTCTTTATATGTTGTGGCATTGTTCAGGTGTCCCATAACAAATGCGTACTTTGTAGTTTGGGGGAAAAAACTAACATAGGATTTTAAAATAAGGGTTTAAAAGAATGAGTGTGTGCCACAGAGAGTTTCATCCCTTTCTATTTCAGGCATGTGGGTACACGAGAGAAAATAGATTCAGTATTCTCTCCTACCCTTAGAGATCAGCTGAGTGTTACTGTTTAGTGTAAAGACAATTACCAGCAGGAAGACAAGACAGCAGAACTTTATCTCATGGAACCATACCTGAGAAAGTCCTTTGGCAGGTGAGAGGAGAGAGGGGGCAGCTCCTACAGGATGCACAGGAGTATGAGGGGAGATGGTGAATCACCCATGGCAACCATGAGTCAATGTAGTTATCAGAATGTTGAGTACTATGTCATTTTAGGACCCGCTACTGAAAGAGCATTTATAAATCTTGGAGTGTGTCTATGGGAACTATAAAACTGATCAAAGGCTGGAAAACAGGCACTGAATAAAAGAAAAGGTGGTTGGCTCTATTACTTTAGGTATGGAAAGTCTGGCTAGGTAATTAGACAAATTCCCATCTCCATGAATAGCTATGACAGCCTTCTCAGACATGGAGGTGAGACCTGAATTTATTAACAGTCTTCAGTTATACAAAGGACAATTGCACAGAAGGTGTTACTTTCACACTGAGACTAAGGCGAGAGCGAGCACAAATGAACAAAGCAGAAGTGATTTAGGCCAGAGAGTGCTGGACACCACAGTCTGCTGTAGCAGTTAGTAACTTTGCATGGATTACTAGAAATTAAGGGTTCAATATAGTCAAAGTGTGGGAGGGGGCAGAGATGGGAGCTGAGGCCATGGCATTTTGAAAGCAATAGTTCGTAAGTGAGACCTCCTCAGGAGGTGAAAGGGAGCAGATTCAGGAGAGAGTAGGAGGCCTTATTGAAGGTTTATTTATGAAAACCAAGGATGGCAGGCCAGGGGAGTTGGGAGTGGTGACCTGCTTTGTAAGAAGTAATCACCATAGAGTCTTTAAATAATACATTTTCTATTGTTTCATGAATATGTGATTTAGAAAATTATCTTTCCTCATATAATTCACCAAAAGTACTTCTTTTAGTAAAGCCAGGCATTTTACCTGTGTCCATGCATTAATTATTGGCTCAGTGGAACACAATGTGGGATGTCAGGAATATGGCCAACAGCATGTGGTGGAATCAAATACAGACCGAAGATGCCTTTTAAGACCTCTTCCATCCCTGAATTCTTTCACATTTAATATAAAAAGCTAGAAGAGAATTCTATGTACTGTATAATTTTCATTCCAGAGATTAGGTTGAACTATATGAAATTGTCATTTTTATAGGTTAAAACAGTCAAATAGTGCCATCTTCATATAATTCAACCTAATACAATTATTATACATGCTTTTCATTTTCACTAAAGCTAATGGCTTTAATATATTTAGTTTTTAGGCCAAGATATTAGTGTACAAATAAATGCCTAACCAGGGTTTGGGGATTGGATAAATCATTTGTAGGCAGTTAGTTCATTCTTCTTTAGAATGGACACTGGTGCCTCCAATCTAGTTTGAAGATTTATCAAACTATGCAAAAAAAAAAAGGGGAAAACTCAGGGGAAATTCTGTCTGGGAAAGGGGTCAGAGGATGAACAGGAGAAAATATAACAAAATTTGTACCATATTACAAGTTTAGTGGAGGAAGACCACAACAAAGCTGTGAGCAGAAAAACAAAGAGCATGGCCTCCTCATTTCTAAAATACAGTATTGCTTAATGTGTCCTGCTCTCAAGAGTAAGCATAAGACAAGACACGAAGTACACATTGGAAAAGTCCTATCTGCATAGTCATCTAAAATGAGACACACTTAGCTTAACTAAAATGTCATTTTATTAATAATGTAAAATGTTAGATATTGTTACGATCTGAGCTAATTCCAGCATGCCCTATAAGATTTAACGCTAGGCTGATGTGCAGACCCCATGCTTCAGATTTCAATGAGAACAAAGTGTGATAATATTCAATTTTACATCTGAGGGTAATTGTGTATGTTACTACAACATTTCCAAACTGGATGACTTCATTCTCCAAGAAACTGAAAAAGACACCATTGGGTCAAAAGGAAATTAGTTGCCCGTATGCATTGTATGAAGGTAGGATTATTGTGTATTTACAAAATGTATTTTCCATATATGGTTTTGTTGCATTATAAATTAGGATATTTTATGATGACACTTTTAGATTTTGACAGAATGGAAGACTAAATGTAAATGAGTGCAGATAAAGCAATGTGTGAGGTGGCATATGTTGGATTATAATATTATTTCTAATGATGCTCATAGTTTGGATTTTTGAACACAGTTTTACTGCTTTAAATAGATTTCTATGCTTAAAGACATCTTCCATATATGATAAATTGCTAACATGAGATCAGTAAGAGCTATAGATATACTATTATATGTGAAATATTTTTTCTCTATAATACATTTTAAAAAATCTTTAAATAATCTAAAAATCATAATTCTTGCATCTGTCATGGCATGGTTCAGAGTAGACATGCACAATGTCAACTTTAAAAATCCTTTTAAAAACAGCCTGCTTTTTGAATCTGTTCTTTTTCTTTTCTTGATGGCAGCTGCTTTCAAGTGTAAAATTATTTAAAGGGGCAGGAGGAGGCAGGTAAAAGTAATAAGGAAGCATAGAAAACATAGTCAAAACCAATCACGGTATTCCGCTGTGTGGAGGTCATCAGGTTCTGGGATGTCTTCCAGGTGATCTGGTGGTGGGTTTCCAGGAGGAGCTGCCTAGCTCGAGACTAGACAGCACAGCCCAAAGAACCTTCTCTTCCGTCTTCTAACCAGGGGATAAGGAGTTAGATTCAGAAGGCTGCTGTCATCTGTGATAGGACAGAATGTCCATAGGAGTGAGGAACAGACAAAACAACCTGTTCTTTATGAAGTGGCTTTAAAAACCCGCCATCCTGTGAATGACATTTCTAAACTTCAGTACTGTTGACATTTTGGATCAAAATGTTTTACTGTGGGAGGCTATCCCCAGTATTGAAGGACTTGAGTAGTGTCCTTAACCTTCACTCACTAGGATGCCTGCATCAGTTAGGACAAGTAAAAATATTCCCAGGTGTGACCAAATGTTCCCTGGAGGAGGGGCAAAATATCCCAAGGTTAAGAATCACAATTACATTGAAACTGCTTAGAGGCAATCTTTCAACTAGGAAGAAGCAGCTTAATACACACAGCCTGTGCTTTGAGGAAGCTGGCTTGTTTTATAAACTTGCCTCTGCTATTTACTAGTTCTATGACGCTGAGCCTGTTACTGGACCTCACTAAACTTCAGTGTCACTGTGTAAATTAGGGTTTAATAGTTAAGGATACTTACCTTAAGTGAAGAATAAATGAAAAAAATAAACCCACGAAAAGCATTTCATTTGATGGTAGCTTAGTGGTTAGCATAGATGAGGCATCCAGTTAAAATAGCTATTAGTAGCTATTTTCCTATATATAGGACATTTTTCTTGGCTCCATTCTACTTCCTTCATATCTCAGGAAGAAGTTCCAACTATTCTCTGTTGAGTTGTTTCCCTTACTTTTTATGTTTCCCTAGATATGGGCCTTCAGGGAAGACTGATAACTATTCAGGGAAGTCTGATAACTATTCAATCAATGAATTTTGGGTTAAAATGTTAGTGTGATAACAATTCAGGGAGAAATGAACCAGAAGGCTACCTACTGTCTAAAATAGGGAGAGGTAGGAGGAACTTGGTAGAGCAGAATTGGCCAGCATGGGTGTTAGAACTGGAGGATGACAGGGTATAAACTGGACATCCCAGCAGGGGCAATGCTAGTGTTGGTCTTGCCACAACACCTGGGATGGTTGGCATTGGTGACTGTTAGGGGGCCTTTCAGAATGAGACTGAGGTGCTTACCTTTCCCCCCTTCTAACCTTAAAGGAAACAGAACCTTGGCCAGGGGCATAATCCCGAGTTAGATAAAGGCATGGATGCAAGGAAGGAATGGAACTGGGTTACAGTTAAGGGTTTGTTTCTCTTCATTACCAAGTCTAGATGCACCTGGTATGGTGGCACACACCTTTAATCCCAGCCCTTAGAAGGCAGAAGCAAGTGGATTTTTTGTGAGAGTGAGGCCAGCCTGGTCCACATAATGGCTTCCAGGCAGGCTGGGACTAGGGAAAACCTGTCAAAAAAACAAAACAAAAAAACAAAAACAAAACAAAACAAAACCAAAAGCCAAGCCTAGATGCTCAGGAAACCTTCAAGGATGAAAGTAAATCCTGACTCTCTGATCTTTGTTTTTTGGTTTTTTAGAGTCAGCCCCAGCTGGCCTGAAACTTGCTGTGTAGACCAGGCTAACCTTGATCTCTGACTGCCTCTGCCTCCTGAGTGCTGGAATTAAAGGCACATGCTACCATGCCCAGCTCTGGTCCTTTTGTAAAGCTATTTCAACCAAGTACCTAGGCCTTCCCCCCATCTTCGGTAAAGTCTCTCATGTATCAAAGTACTGTGCTTTTTTGCAAATGAGTATTGTCTACCTAAATTGACAGGAATCATGGCAATGGTACTATCGATGACAAATTTAGATGTAACTCAAGTAGCAAGTCCAAGGCAAAGAAGAGAAACAGACACCCAGCTGGGCATATCAAATGCCCAAACACCATCCCTTTTCCACTTTTCACTGATTAAAATCCTCATCTAAGACTCAGATTTTTCAACACCAAGAATGATAGGTCTATTTTTTGTTCCTTCAATAGTTTAAAAAAAAATTTAAAATAACCTAAGCATCAATATTTTGAGAGCTAAGACTAAGATTTCTCTCTCTTTCTCTTTTTTTTAAATAATTAATTTGTTCTGAAAGAGTTAAGACACTGAAAGAAATGTCAGATCCCATGCATGAACATCATTTTTTAGGGGAAATTTCTCAGAGGTGAATCATATTTTTGGAACAGAAAGAAATTACACACAACTCATTTTTCATCATCTCTAAGACTCATTTTAACTATCAAATGACTGATGAACTTAATCTAACCAAATGGGTCAAAGATGTAGCAAACTTTGAAGGGTAAAGAATTTCACTTTTTGGTCAGTATCTCTTTGGATACTGACTATACTTCCTGAAATACTATATTATTCTATACTGTACTATACTATACTATACTATACTATACTATACTATACTAATATACTTCCTGATATTCAAGTTCACTTGCAATTCAATGCTTTTTGGGTCAGAGTCACCAAAAACTAGAAAGATATTTATAGAGAAGAAAGATCTTTGCATCTCTATTTTTTCAAGACTTAGATATTTCTTCTGAATTCCTATACCTCTCGCTCCAAATATTTAATAGATTTGAAGAAAGACTTAACTGATTTTTTATATATTATAAGGTGCAATTCTCATAAGTATTGCTCCCATTTCATGAAGAAATATTACCACAATGTTGCATTTATAAAGAAAAATGTGTTTGCATGCACTGTGGTCATATGCTGAGTACTGCTCTCTTTTTTTAATGTTAAAAGCACACAGGAATCATATACAGATACTATGAGAGTTTCATCAAGACTGAGTCTTGATCACTCATTTACAGTGACTCAAAATGATTTCTTAAAAACTTTTTTGAATTATTTATTTATTTTTTTATGTGTATGAGTGTTATACCTGCATGTGTTTAAGTGCACCTGTGTCATGCAGTGGCTTCAGGGGATAGATGAGGGCATCGGATCCCCTGGAACTGAAGTTATAGATGGTTGTTAGTCACCATGTAGATGTGGGGAACCAATCCTGGGTCTTCTGTAAGAACAGCCAGTGCTCTTAATCACTAGGTCATCTCTCTAGTCCCTAAAAAGACTTCTTATAGTATAGCCCTTTATGGTATTGAAATTCTCTCCATTCAATCTTCTTTGTAGATAGATGTATATATGTATGTGTAATATATACATAAATCATGCACATAGGATATATGTATATACAAGGTATATCTGCTACATACATGTATGTGTGTATGAATATATTTCTTTCACAAGAGGACAGAAGTGTTAGGATGGTGAGAAAACGTTGACATTAAACAAAGGTCAGGTTGCCTATTAAGAGTGATTGCTGGCTTGAGGCATCTTTGATGTGCATTTGTAATACCTTTGCCTAGCTGAGAGCTTGTCTGATCCTCATCTAGGGCCAAGAAGAAACAAAAGCTCGAAAATCTTTGGCTCAAATTCAGAGAAGCTCTCTACACTGCAGGAAAGCAGACAGCTGCAGTAAATGCTGAAATTCGCCAAGCAGCAAGGATGCGTCTAGCTGTTTGAAATGAATTCAACTCCAGGAAAAGATGTCTCACCTCATGGACTGAAATCTTGTCTCTGAGCTGTTGGTCTGCTGAAAAATGTGTTCAAATGTGTTCCCCCACTCACTCTAAATTTTCTGGACAAATCTGCTTGAACTTGTTGGGAAACAGTCGTTTTTTTGTTGCAAACACTTGTTTGGATGTGGCTTATTAAGGTTTTTGTAAATTTTTCCTTCATTGTGCACTTCAGAAAACTATCATCGAGGACAGCTTTAAAAATGAAAGAGGGAAAGGAAAAGGGAGAAAGAAAAAATAAAAAAGCGAAAGAAAAGGTCGACTAGGGTATTTAACCATCATAAGCCCGAGGGCTCTAGAATTCCTTAAGATACAATGGTGCCTTTTCTTCATTGCTCAAATTCCTTTTTGCAAATGAAATACTTCTTATATAGGTAATATTTTGAGAGAAAAGGGGATACAAAATGAGAAGTTTTCAAATAATAATCTGAGTTTAAAGCTGTGTTCTCAGATATAATCAGGAGACAAGCCTAGAATGCTATAATGGCACTGCAAGTGCACTTGTTCTTCTAGTCCAAGAGGGGAGAAATTATGTATACAATTTGTATATTATATATAATTTATATAAATACAATTATATGTATGTAGTTTAGTGAACTTGGTGGTTCTCAAACATTAGGTGCATCAGCATCATCTGAAGGCTTGTTAAAGCACAGATTATTGACCTAACCTCTCCAAATTTAAATCAGTAAATTTTAAATCTGTGGAGACAGAGAATCAACTTGTTTTACCAATTTTTACAAATGTTGATGTTTCAGGTCATGAGATCAGACCTTGAGAACTGATGAATTAACAGACAACCTACTAAGTGTGAGGCCCTAGATGATGGTTAATTTGATTTTCAACTTGACGGGATGTAGAATCATCATAAAAACAAATTTCTGGCCATGTCTGTGAGGGATTATCTGGATTAGGGTAGTTGAGGTGGGAAGACCTACTCTCAATGTGGAGAGTACTCCTCCATGGGCTTAGGTCCTGGGCTGACTACAAAAAAGAAAGAGAGCTGAGAAGCAGCAGCTTCTTCATCCTGTCTGGATGCAATGTGACCAGCAGCCTCCTACTTCTGCCGTTGTGCCTTCCCTGTCATGATGGACTATATCACCTAGAACCGTAGGCCAAAATAAAGCCCCCTTCCTTAAGTTGTTTTTGTCAGGTATTTCATTGCAGCAACAAGTTATGAAACTAAGACACCCTGTGCTGGGCAGTGAGGGTAATACCAAGATGGGTTTTAAAAGAAACATGGTCCCTGACCTCAAGAGCTTTCCTTGTGTAACTAATTAGACTTCATTATATATGCCATGAGAAAGAAACCAGCACAGTGCTATGAGAATTTCCAAGGAGAGGGGACAAAGATTACTCCCATTTAGAGAAGAAAACCATTTATGGAAGATTCATGGAAGCCCTGGTGATCATTCTTGGCCACAAAGAATGAGAAGAATTTGAGTGTTTGTTGAAGGGGATAGGCATTCTGAATAAAGGGAAGAGTATGAGCACATACAACGGTGCCAATGG